CAACCTACCGAATGGGAGAAAATATTTGCAAACCATATCTGATAAGGGGCTGATATCCAAAATATATAAGGAACTCATACAACTCAATATCAAGAAAACACAAAAATCTGATTTGAAAATGAGCAAAGGATCTGAATATTTTCTAAAGAAGCAATACATGAAAAAGTGTTCAGCACCACAAATCATCAGAGAAATGTAAATCAAAACCATAATGAGATATCATCCCACACTTGTTAGCATGGCTATTAAAAAAAAAAGATAGGAGATGACAAGTGTTGGTGAGGATGTGGAGAAAGGGGAACACTTGTACACTCTTGGTGGGAATGTAAATTGGTACAGCCACTATGGGAAACAGTAGTATGAAGGTTCTTCAAAAAATTAAAAATAGAACTACCCTAAGATCCAGCAATCCCACTTCTGGGAAACAAAATCAGGATCCTGAAGAGAGATATCTGCATTCCCATGTTCACTGCAGGCTTATTTACAATAGCCAAGATACAGAAAAAATCTAACTGTCAACACATAAATAGATAAAGAGAATGTAGTATATTTATATACAATGGAATTGTATTTAGCCATAAAAAAGGAAATCCTGCCATTCATGACAACATGGATAAACCAGGAGAACATTATGCTAAGTGAGTAAGTTAGACACAGAAAGAAAATTATGTATGATCTCATTCATATATGAAATTTAAAAACATTGAACTCATAGAAACAGAGTAGAACAGTCTGAGGTGTGAAGGAAATAGAGATGTTGATCAAAGGTCTAAACTTTCAGTTATAAGATGAACAAGTTCTGGAGAAATAATGTAAAGCATAGGTGGTGATGGATGTGTTAACTAGAAAAAAAGAAAGAAATTGGATCACTGGAATAGTGCTGAGCTTTGCCTGGGTAATTCTGTCAACACTTTACAAAAAACGCAATCTTTCAGCTTTTGGCTAGTCTTGGAAAATTTATAGGTGTTTTCTGTCTATGGGTTGGTTAGAAATATTCCAAAAAATTGGAATATAAAATCTCTGGGAAATGAATTAGAAATATGCTCACATTCCTGACAATCATTATTAGCATTTAAGTTCCAGAAGAGGCAGGAGACCATTTATTTTGCTTGGTATACTCAGTAGTGTAGCTTAACCCTGTCTCTGCATGTGGTACCATGTTTATTGTTTGTAAAGCTCAGCCAGAGAGTTGAATATGGCATGGATGTAGCTTACTCCTCCTTATTTAATGAACATATATTGAGCACCGATTTTGTATCAGGCCTTATGGTAGAGTTACCAAGAATGAGTCCCAGTCTCTGGCTTCAGCAGTTTGGCTGAATGAAGGGATCAGTTAAGTAGACAGGCAACTAGTTAGGAGTATGCCCACAGGATTATACATAACAGTACACAAGAGAGGCCTGAGCCCATTTGGAGGGTGATGTGGAGTTTGGGGCCTCAAAAAAGTGACTTCTGAGCAAATATTTGAATGACAAGTAGGAGTGGACTTGAAAGAGGGCAAACATTAAAGTAGAGGGAACATCATATACCAAGTAGTAATACAGTCAGGGAATAACAAGCAGTTTCTCACGAAGGGTAGCTGCAAATAGTGGTAGGAGAGGAGGCTGAGAAGTGGCTGGGACCAGGTCATAGATAACCTTTGTGTCATTAAATGTCTGGATTTTTATCCAGCAAAGGCAATGATTAGTCACTGGAATACTGGCTATGAAAAGTGTTTTTCAAAGAGTAGTTGTAATCCATTAGTGGGTTGTAAAATCAATTTAGTGAATTGGGGCCAGCATATAAAAGGTGAACAAGTAGAAAATATGAGTGTAGATCATATTTGTAAAGGTAAATAACCTTTTACGAAGATTTTGTTTCAATCATTTATGTTTATGACTAATCTGTTCTGATGTAAAATGTTTTTTGACCTGTAGGTCACAGTCACAATTTTTGAGAAGCACTTCTTTAAAGGTTCAATGGTACACAAACTATCAGATTACTTTTAGTAGCAATTAACAGAAAATTCAGACCCAAATGGGAATAATCACTAAAAAAGATTATTATTCCAACATAACTAGGACTCCAGTTTGGGAGCTCTTGGTGCTGTAGTTTTAGTTGTTCTAATCTGCTACTCTCAGTGTTATCTTCTGCCTAAAGCCAGTTCCCCACTGGCACTTAGAATAACATGCCAATTTATTCATCTAGGCAGAATAGAGCCTAGATTCTCACTGCTTTAACTTAGTTTAGGCCTGTGCACTACAACCCATTCAGGAACAAATCCACTGTAGGAAACTGTAATGCAATGTGGCAAATTCAGTGTGTTATGGAAACATAGAGCACCTCAGTTGACAAAGTCATGAATTTAGGTGTGGGGATGGTCGGGGAGCCACCTAGGTGATGCCAAAAGTTTGTGTGTAAGTTAAGCAGGTAAAAGAGAGAAGGCTGTCTGTGCGGTGGGGACTGCTTTAACAAAAGGCTGTGGACAGGGGAGCTGTGCACAGGGAAACATCCAAAATAGGAACTTTTATGCTTATAGAGCATAGCAAAGGAAGGCAAAGGAAGTAGCTGGAGTGATGAGTAGATGTCTGAACTAGAAGGGGAGTCATGATAAGGAATCTGGACTCTTTCCCATAGGAAATAAGCAACTGGCGACCATCACCAGGGAATTAAGATGATCTCACTACAGCCAAAGTGTAGAGGGAGGTAAGTTAGGAGGTTGTTGCAGTAATCCAGGATAGAGGTATCTTGGATTTCATATTAGGGAGCGAGTTGATTGCAGATTTGAGGAACATTGTGGAAATAAAAACATGACTTGTTAATTTCAGTGTAGATTAGTGTAAGGAAATAATCTCTGACTTTTCTAGTCATCTTCCCAAGATAACAGGCTTGCAGTGTTTTAACTGTAAAGCCTAAACTTGTAACCTTTTGAGAAAGGAGTGATCATTACTTTGTCAACCTTACTGTAAAGAACTGGAGCCCAAGATGGTGGGAACCTTTGAGAGTGGTGCTCTTGGATTTGGAATGTATTTAAGAGGTGCTTAAATAGACTTGGGGGGAGCAGTCCACTAGTTGAAGAAAAGTTATTTATAAGCCCGATTAGTAAAATTTTTTTTTTTTTTTTGATATGAGTCTCACTGTGTTGCCCAGGCTGGAGTCAACGGTGCAATCTTGGCTCATTGCAAGCTCTGCTTCCCGGGTTTGTGCCATTCTCCTGTCTCAGCCTCCCCAGTAGCTGGGACTATAGGTGCCACCACCATGCCCGGCTAATTTTTTTGTACTTTTAGTAGAGACCGGGTTTCACCATGTCAGCCAGGATGGTCTTGATCTCCTGACCTTATGATCCACCCGCCTTGTGCCTCCCGAAATGCTGGGATTACAGGCGTGAGCCACCAGGCCCGGCAGTAAAATTCTTGATGCTGTTACTTTCCTTGTGTTATCCCTGAGCCTTTAGCAAATGTTTTAGGATTCATCTACTTTTATTTGGACCAAAACATTAAAGGGGAAGCAGTGTCCCTTGAGGCCACTGTGGTAGTGGCGGTGGCCTGTTATTGTGAGCTCATTGATGGTACAGGTTGTTTCTTATCTCTAGTCTCTATTAGACAAACAGTGGATACTGTATCCCTTCTGCCTAAATTGATGCTGGGAACCAGCAGATGCTCCAAAAGCATGTAGGGAACTGTTGGAAGTCCCACAGGGAGATATATTTCTGGGGTCTAAGAAGAAAAGCTACAGGAGCTGAGCCACAATCCATCTATTCAAAATAAAGATGTGGTTTTAAGGAAAGTGGTTTTTCTAGAAGTCAGGCATGACTCCTAGATATCTAGCTAGGGTGGATGTTCATGCTAAGACAGAAGAGGGGTATATTTTTTAGCAGAAGCAGAGTTGTAGCTTTATTTCATAAATGTTTTGAGTGTCTACTATATTTCATTTGAAATGTAATAGCTTTCTGGCTAGTGTGAAGAACAAACCAGAGTAGAGAAAAAGAGATAAAGAGCTCTGTTAGGAGTAGATGAGTATCAGACTAAGGCAGCTGCAGCTGAATTAGCACCAGAATAGTTCGTTCTGTCACTGAAGCCATGTCTGCTACACCAGTGATCCCTTTACCTTTACTCTTACTTATTGTCTCAGACAGTGGATGGGTTCAGTGGGCCAAATACACTCAGAAGATAGAGCCTAAGATAAAATCTCTTCTACCTACTCTACTGGAGATATGGCAATTATCAGGCACTACTATCAAGTGTTTGGACCAAGAGTGATGGCTCCTTTCTGTCTTTCCATAACTACCACCATACTAAAGCCTCTGAACCCAAGGGAACGGCAGCCTGGCTGTGCCAAGAAAGGGGTTCCCGGCTTCTCACATTCTGAAGCCGGATTTCCCTTTTCTGGGTTCCCAGAGAGGCCAGATTTGACAACAATAAAAATTTCCAGGAAATTCCCAGGAGGTTTAATATCTTAATCCTTCTCAGGCATAGACCCTCTTTCTTACCCCTTCCCCCCACCAAGAGGAAGGAGCTTATCCTGGAGACCAACATCCTCTGCTGAATGTCTCCACCCCTTTGGCCAAACTGGTAGAACATCTGAGTTCTTGGGTCCTCTCCTCCCAGGCCCATTTAGCGGGCTGAAGGGAACACATGAAGGTAATGTGTGATCCTGCCTCAAAACAGAGGAATGATTGCAGTATCCCCTGAAGATTTGTAGGATACTAGATTGTTTAAGGAAGTTTCACTTGCAGATTGTCACTCCCCTACCCGTCAGGAAGTAATCTTCTCTAAGAAATCCCAAGCACTCAGTCTCTAGGAGACCAGATGTCAAAACAAAACCACCTCCGGCAACATTTGGAATTACAGGATGCATTCCCATGTAAACTGGCATTAAGAAAAACAGAACTGCACTAACCAAAAATAACCCAAATTTAAGGACCAGAAGCATAAGCCAGGAATTTACTATCCCAGTTAGACTGAGCATTTGGGTAATTCTCATTCTCCAGAAATCCCACAGGAAGGAAACAAGAAATGAACTTATATATATTCATATAAAGACTTTTATCTATTGTGCAAAGAGAGGGTCATCTGGCTCCCAGAAGGTTCTCAATCCCACTAAGGCTGTCCATTTTACATCTCTAGCTCCAGTTCTTCTCAGAGAGTAAAAGCGCTCCAAAGGTCTGTGATCATGGGCACTGATTAAGGGCTGCAGACTCTTCAGATCCAGTTAAATCCTTGGTGTTTGAGCTGTGGTCGCTTGCTTCCTGGCTCTGGCTGAGGTCCTGCCGCAAACCCTGCAGCAGCTGGTTTAGGAGTGTAAGGTGGCTGTCTCTGCGAGGCAGAGGCAGGGGTGGGAGGCAGTTCCCTTTATACTCGATCACTGCCATTTTCGCCCGATCCAAACTCCGATTTGGGATCTGCAGCATTCTTGTGTAGCCCCCATTTTGATCTTTGTATCGAGGGGCCAGAACTTGAAACAGCTTTGGGATCAAGTCTTTCTCCTAGAGGGAGAATTATCCAAGAGACAGAAGAGTCAGGCAAAACTGCAGAGGCATTTAACTTTAGGCCACTCCCAAAGATAAGGTCCATCCACACACAGAAAGACCTCCCCCGCCCCTCACCAATCTGGTAGAGTCAATGTTACACAAAGGAGTCGTTTATAGGCAGTTGTGCAGAGGTATATTGACTTCGACTTCAACTAACTTAAGACACAGTTTCTAATTTAGTTAACAACATTGGCTCATAAGTGAGTACCCAAGCTTAATTCTGCACAGTTCTCCTTCTTCCAACCCCCACCCCTGGAGAGCAAAGGGTGGGATTCTGAAGGCAGATAGGACGCACTCACTGTGAGCCAGAAGTCAGCCATGCGCATGGCTCGTTCGTTGGTGTCTCCCAGCTTCCCATAGTCGATGAGCTGTGAGGACATAACATCACGGATCCAACCGAGCAAGAAAACAAGGTGCCAATCTAATTTCTCTAATGCCGGACCGCAATGCATTCTTTCCACTAGCAAAGCATCTCCAATCTACGCCATCCCTAACTCCGCAGCCCTAACCAGTCTTCCATTAGAGGCGACGGAGGGGCGGGTTCAGCTGAGGGTCCTAGGAGACTCAGACTTGGGGAACGGTTTACCAGGTTGGTCCCAGTCCCTTTCCACTTGCAGCCGGCCCCGCCCCCTCAGACCAGACCCGCAGAGTGGACAAGAGGGCCCCGCTCCTCACCTTCTCCGCGTAGCCCCTCATCTCGTCCACACGCGCCCATGGTGCCTCGATGCGTTCGTGCCGCACCAGCCCTGTGAGCAAGTTCCGCAACAGATGGATGCGGGACTCCGGACCGAGGCCCAGACGGCGAAATACGCGGCCATGGGAGATGGCTGCAGCGACCGACAGCCGCATGTTTCCAGCTTCTGCCCGCCCCTTGGAGGCCGGAACTGGAAACTGGAAGGTAGACCGGGTGGCGGCAATTTCAGTGGACGCATGCGCCTTAGCTCCGAGCGTGGCGAACGTGTTTGCGCATGCGCATCAGGGCCTGCCTCGTTGGCAATCTCGGGAAGGGCGGAGAAATGGTGTTGAGCTTTTCCAGAGGCGGCGAGCTGGGCGGGCTTCAGGCATCCAGAGCGCTCTGTGGCGGCCGGAGAAGCAGGCGCCCCCTAGTGTGGGATAAGCGGGCCATCGGGTTTTTTTTTTTTTTTTTTTTGGCTGCGTCAGCCAGTGGCTTTTAGGGCGATGGGACGCTCCGCCGCGGAGCCTCCTGGGAAAGAGAGCGTCTGAGGAGAAAGGCACCCGGGCGGGCTGACGGCCCTACACGGTCCAGCAGTGGCCAGCTGGCCTGGTTGACACCTGTACGCATCGTTTTTAACACAGTGATTTTCAGTAGTAATAGTAAAATGGATAATAACGATGCCCGGAAAAGAAACGCAGATAGTGAAATTTTTCTTTTGTTGAAGTAATCATTCCAGTTAAAAAATTTACAGCGCTAAAGGGAAAAGTAATGGATTGTTTTAAATTACACCAGTGTGTTTTTTTAAGGGGAAAAAACATACCTACACATTTGTGTGTTAATGAACAATAATATTGTAGTTTGTTTTTGAGCCTTAACATCTGCAAATTGGCAATGACTGTCAAAATTATTCCTTGTTATGGGTTGAATTGTGTCTTCCCTCGTGATTCTTCCCGTCCACAAAAAGCTGTGTTAAGTCCTAACCTGCAGTAACTCAGGATGTGACCTTATGTGGAAATAGGGTCATTGCAGATGTAATTTGTTAAGATGAAGCCATACGGGTATAGGTGGGCGCCTAATCCAAAATGCCTAGTGTCCAGATAGAGAGATAGATACATATATACGTACATACATATATACAGGTCGGGCACGGTGGCTCACGCCTGTAATTCCAGCACTTTGGGAGGCCGAGGCGGGCGGATCACCTGAGGTCAGGAATTCGAGACCAGCCTGGCCAACATGGCGAAACCCCGTCTCTACTAAAAACACAAAAATTAGCCGGGTGTGGTGGCTCATGCCTGTAATTCCAGCTACACGGGAGGCTGAGGCAGGAGAATAGCTTGAACCCGGGAGGCGGAGGTTGCAGTGCGCTGAGATCAGGCCACTGCACTCTAGCCTGGGTGACAGAGTCAGACTCCATCTCAAAAAAAAAAAAAAAAAAAAAAAAAAGCGTATGAGGAGAGAGAGATGGACACTCAGGGTGATGCTGACCAGGTAAAGACAGAGACATATAGGGAGAAAGCCATGTGACCTTGAAAGGCGAGATTATGGAGTTAAGCAGTTGCAAATCAGTGAATGAACTCCAAAGATTGATTGCTGGAGCACACCTGAAGCCAAGGGAAAGGTATAAAACGTATTCTTTTTCAGATCCGTCAGAGAGCATGACCCTGCTGCTAACACATTGCTTTATTACTTCTAGCCTCCAGAGCCACAAAACAATAAATTTCTGTTGTTTTAAGTTCCACAGTTTGTGATAGTTTGTTACAGCAGTCTTAGGAAATGAATTCACTCCTCTTTATGTGTACATATGCAGTAGACGTATAGATTTGTCACTATGTCAGCTTCTAGGTGACCAAAGAGCATCTCTTTGCTAATTTTAATTTTGAAAAGCTTCTTTAATATGAAGGAACAAATAGACAAAGAGGAAAAGTCGTGAACATATAAATACATTGAGAGAGATTTATACAAATCACACTTCACAAATAAATTTACAATAAATTACAGAAATTACAATTACCATTCATATTTTGTTTCTTTGGGAACAACTCTTGTAGTTTTCAATTGTCTTTGCAGTTGAAAAATTTCACTAAGATATTTTCACCAGAATTTTTTTTTTTGAGACGCAGTTTCGTTCTTGTTGCCTAGGCTGGAGTGCAATGGCGCAGTCTTGGCTCACTGCAACCTCCACCTCCTGGGTTCAAGCGATTCTCATGCCTCAGCCTGGCAAGAAACTGGGGTTACAGGCACCCGCCACCACGCCTGGCTAATTTTTTTGTATTTTTAGTAGAGACAGGGTTTTGCCATGTTGGCCAGGCTGATCTTGAACTCCTGACCTTAGGTGATCTGCCCGCCTCAGCCTCCCAAAGAGCTGGGATTAGAGGTGTGAGCCACCATGCCCGGCCCACCAGAAAATTTATCACAAATTTCTGTTGGTAAAAACTTGTGAAGAGTCTCTTCCTCAGCAAAAAATTAGATAAAATGAAACATTGATCCATTGTTTTAGAAGATGCTTACACTTGGTAAAAACAATCGTAGCATCAAACATTGTCCTTTTTGACTTTTTCTGGCAATACAAGACCATCATCTCTTGTCTCTTCTGGTAGTGTTCAAAATTTGATTCTTTTTTTAGATGTCAATTTCCTTATATTTTGTTTTTGCAGCATCACTACTGGCTTTCTCTGCAATTTCTGTGGGCTGATATTAATGGAACAATTTTTTTTTTTTTTTTTTTTACAGTCCAAGGGTCTTTTATTATCATTATTATTATTTGCACCTATTATGTCGTGAATTCAAAGGGAATAGGTTCCAGTAGCTCTGGCTCCTCTCCATTGGTTCTCACAAAGTGTGCTTCTCTTGGTGCAGCAGTCTGGCCTGTCAGCTGAATTCAGGTACCTTTCTCTTTGGCTCCCTTCTTTTTCTGATCACTTTCTTTCATGCATTTCAGGAGGCTACCTTGTGCCTTAGAGTGTTTAATGTGCTCCATATGCGCATTAATTCTTTTGGCAAGAATCTTGCCTTTAACTTTTTTTTTTCTTTTTTTTACAGCAATGCTAACAGCATGCTAAGTAAGATTATAGACTCTTCCAGTTTTTGCCATGGTAACACTTGCGAGGCATTACTTTTTGAACCATACCCATTCCCTTGATGTCTACAGTATCACTTTTTTTATAGACTCCCATGCATGTGGCCAACTCCATGTTTTCTAAAAGGTATAGAAAACATACATTGGGTGTCTCTCCTCTTTTCCTTGTGTTGGTCATTTTGGTGAATTACCAGAATATGGAGTTTCTAGCCAAAAGGAAGTTAAAGCAACAATTTAAACCTTGATGTTTTATTGACTGTATGTTGTTCAAGGCTTATTCTGGCTCTTTGCAGATATTTTTGTGTTTGATTGGCCTTCTTTGAAACTTCACATTCATAAAAAAAACTCATAAAAGAAAAATCCCACAAAACCAAAGTTGTTTGTTTTAAATCTACTGTTTAAAAGCAGAGATATTTTGTACAACAGGAGTTGGAGACATGAAATGTACTTGAAGTGAGCCTGAAAGCTAATTAAACTCTTATGAATTTATGTCTCTAACTATAAATAAAACTCCAGTCTCCTGCACAGCTGGCTCTGTGTGAATTACTCTTTCTCTATTGCAATTCCCCTGTCTTGATAAATCAGCTCTGTCTAGGCAGCAGGCAAGGTGAACCCATTGGATGGTTACAAATTTGGAGGCTTGTCCAGGATTGCCCATGTGGCTACCTGCCCATGGTTTGGTAGTCCCCCTCTGGTGATGGATTCAGACGCCAGCCCAAGCAGCTGCCTAGTTGTTTTGGACTGGGGGCTGACTCTGATACTGTCTCCACTGATGGGGCACTGGCGACCCAATGTGCATGGGTTTAATTGCAATAGAGAAATAGTCTTGGGGTGATGTCCTATAACTGTAGCCCTATCACAAGGTGAGCCCCAAAGAAAGCTCAACAGACCTGGCTCGGGGCGACTATCTGCTCTTCGTCTTTCCCAGAGACCACCCATCAGATTACTGGTCAGAGGTCATCCCTCCCCACCTGGAGTGGATCAAAGAGAATGTGACCAATGGGAGAAAGTTTGAGCCTTGCCAGGTCAATACTGGGTGGTGAATGAGGTGACTAGTGTCTATTTTGTTATGTATATTTTGCTTTTACGGGGATGGAAAATATTAGTTTGGTTCCCTATGCAGCCTCTTGGGCAGCATCTTGCAAAATTGAGAATCTTTTGCTTATGGTTCCATAAGAGAGAAAAGGGTGATTTTCTTTTGTAAAGTGGCTTGACCTTTACATGTGCTATGGCACAACTAGCAGGGTCATCAAAAGCTGCTCTGTTCTTCTGGAAGCTGCAGAGAAAGGGAATCTCAAAACCTGGTGTGCTGGCAAAAAGGGTAAGAAATTCTTACCAGCTGGGTTTCTGCACCTCCCCATCTGTGTGTGTGTGTGCACGTGTGTGTGTAAATGGTAAACATCACTATTTGCCTTCTCTGCAATGGTTTGATTACTAGAAAAAAGCATTTGTGAGTCCAGTCTTAGGCTGTAGGAAATCTGGTTGACTTTGTGCTAAGAATTTGTCTTTCTGTAATGGAGAGAGGGTTATCACAGGATAGAACGTGGGCTTAGGACCCCAATAAGCCTGCTTTACAAGCCAGCCCAGCAGACTGGTCAGTAACAAACTTTGTTGAGGGTCCCTGAAACCAATACCGGATGAAATTTCTCTGTCTTGTTTAGTGTCCTTAAGAGCTTAACCTTGTGACCATGTGAAGATATTTTCTCTTGGTTTCTGCCATCCAGAGGACAGGAATTTTGGGGTTCATGTTAGCCCTAAAAATTATCTTAAGGAGTTAAGAGCCTTTGCAAGCTTGAAATTGACTGCTCTAGACTTCTGGGAAGAGCAATAGAAACTGCTCAATGCTGTGTGGCTCGGTAACTGAAGCTTTTTCTTTCGACAGTGGTGGCCTGGGTTCAATTCTTCGCTTCTGGAATGTTTCCTTTCTGGTTTGTTATTTGTGTAATTTTGCTATTTATTGAGGGTTTTTCCCCCATGGATAACTTCTGATTTCCTGTCTGGGATTTTCCTTTCTCTAAACTACCCTTGGGGAGATTGCAAATCTTGCAAGAAAAAAAAAAAAAAAAAAAAAAAAAAAAAAAAAAAAAAAAAAAAGAAACTGCTTATCATCTCTTTGAGACACCTTATATGTCCATGGTTAATTTATAACCTTAGCTAAAACTTACTAATTTCATGAGGAAAGTTACCTGTGGTAGAAATCAAAATCTGGAAATATTGGCTGTCCTGGCTAGAGTCTAGTAATAAGAGATTTAAAAGCATTTATTTATTTTTTTTAAAAAAGAGCTCTATGGCTAAAATCAGCTGAATTAAAAATAAATATCCAAGCTATATGTATTTAAGAGGACTTTATCTTTTTCCTCTTCTTGAGTTGTGTTTTTCTGAAAAAAGTTTTTTTTTCTCAGTAGACAGAATTGT